CAGCTCTAGGCATGATGAAGCGGATATCATCCTCTTTTGGAAGGCCAAACAAAGTAGTTTTGCTTTCACAACGAAACACACAGCCTCACCACAACATGGCAGCGGCGGCAACAACAATACTACAGCAAGAATAAAAGTCACGCCTTCTTTCTTTGCGTGAACATTTGGGCGGTGTTATGCAAATCTTCCCACACAGTGACGTAGACATGTGGGGGTGTGTTTAAACGAGGCGTTTTAGGAGGTGCGTGGACAAGTCTCAACTTTTATAAAGAATATCTCTTTGGGTTTGAGACTTTAGTCTTTGCAACATTAGGGATCTTATCTATGCACAAACAGCTTGTAACACTCCAAAGAGAAAGGAAAATTTGAAATGGCATCATATGACCCCTTTAAGATTTCATTCTGTGAACGTCCTAGTATGTCAGGCTGTCAATCAATGCCATCATTCAGTAACCTACACTGAGTTAGAGTTTCCATTCGTCTATAAATCAAACATAAGAAATACTGTAGAAATGCATATCAACACCAAACCATGCAGTTCACCATTTTTATTTATGTATTTATTTTTTTACAACTTTGTATTAATATTCTACACTTTTGTTTTGGTAAAGTGTGTACCGGTCAATAAATCTGCATTTTAAATTGCAAAAAAAACTTAAATAAACTGGAAAGTGGGGAGGGATTGGGATAAGAACCAGCCTGAGGTTAGCCAAATGATTTATACATATTAATAACTCCGCTTTCTGAGGGTTTAATAACTTTTATTACTTATAATAGAAAGCCAGCCCTCAATTTCCCACCTTCTCTTTGACCGTAGTTCACCAAAAATGACAATTCTGTTATCATTTTAATCCTGTATGCTTTTTTTTCTTCAATGGAAAACTAAATGAGAAATTTATAATTTACCAATCACTCCATTCATTGCAACATGAAAACCTTTATGCCAGGTCTTCTGCAGTCATACAATAGCTTTGTGTGGAAAAATAAACCAAAATTTAGGTTGTTATTCTTCCCCTCATTAAATCAAAATGAAAATTATAAATTAATATTTCAGATTAGTTTAACTGATTCATTGAAAAATAACAACCTTATGAATGATTTGATTATGAACCTATTGACATCAAGATTCTAATGAAATAAGGCCTTAAAGTTCATTCTGTTCCTCACACAAAACTATCCTTTGCATCTTTTTTTGAAGCTCTGGTCTCTTCTTTTTGACTGCAGAAAAAAAAAGTGACTAGTAGATATTCAAAATGTCTCTGAAACTATTATTCTGTCCGTTTTCACTCAGCAGATGTTTACATACTCATAGTATCATTAAATATTGGTAACGGATGTTAAACAGATTAAGATCAGTCACTCGTTCTGGAGTCTGACATTTTAGAGCAGTGATTGACAAATAAGAGACTCATTGCTTGTCATTTTGAGGGGTACTTTAAGAGCACTGTGTGTGTGTGTGTGTGTCCCACCAAATCCCCATAAGCCATTAAACAGACAATGTTTATATCTTTCCACATGACTGACAGAGCACATTTACACCTCACACGATCAACAGAACACATGCATATGCAAACACACTGAAACTACTCCACATCAGCCGCTGTTTCAACATATATAACAAGCTGACCTTGAGAACATTGCAGGGCCAGAGAGCATGTAGAATTTACAATCAATAACAACTGAGACTTAACACAAGTTAACAGACCTACACAGGTGCAGACACTGAGGAGAGACAAGTTTCTTGAGATGAGAGCACCCTCTAGTGGCTTTGTAATCCACTATATCCCCATATCCCCCAAAACGATTAGGTTTTTTAGTGCTATAATAATGCTTACTATAATAATAATAAAAATAATAATAATACTCAAATTTGGCTTCATATATTGATTATCAGCTATCTATTAGACTTTTAAAGCAACATTTCTAGCCAGAGAATTACTTTAGCTATGCATTTACTTAAAAAATATATTAGGAAAATACCCACCTAATATTAAGTCCTGCAGCCTGGCCAATGTTTTCCCAAGCCTGCAGCTCTTGCTCCAGTTTCTAGAAGATAAAAATCACATCCAGCCACAATGATGGATTAAAATCACCATACAATATATGGCAAAACAAAAACTTCCATTTTATTTAAAAACTTCCATAAATACTTTACATTTTAAATAAAATCTCATAATTTGTTCCAATTCTGAAAAGAAGTGGCAAGAGACTTGTTTGTTTTATGCAAATCTATTTTCGTAATTTTTCCTTTTGGGGTGAAATATCAAGCACAATATAATTAATAATCAGAGAGTCAATCTTACATAGCATCTAAAGACCAGACAGAGATCGACCAATATATCGATTTACCGATATTTTTCCCGATATTAAAGCATTTTACAATAATCGGATATCGTTTTTGTAATATCGGATTCACCGATAAACGCTGCCATTAGCTTTGTGTGGAAAAATAAACCAAAATTTAGGTTGTTATTCTTCCCCTCATTAAATCAAAATGAAAATTATAAATTAATATTTCAGATTAGTTTAACTGATTCATTGAAAAATAACAACCTTATGAATGATTTGATTATGAACCTATTGACATCAAGATTCTAATGAAATAAGGCCTTAAAGTTCATTCTGTTCCTCACACAAAACTATCCTTTGCATCTTTTTTTGAAGCTCTGGTCTCTTCTTTTTGACTGCAGAAAAAAAAGTGACTAGTAGATTTTCAAAATGTCTCTGAAACTATTATTCTGTCCGTTTTCACTCAGCAGATGTTTACATACTCATAATATCATTAAATATTGGTAACGGATGTTAAACAGATTAAGATCAGTCACTCGCATAGCAGCCATTAATGCACAAATTAGATGCATTACATAAATGCCTGATATGCAGATAATGCAGCTTGGCTCGAAGAAATAGAGACGAACTCACGGAGTCTCGTAAAATAATCCATCAAGTCCTGTCCCAATAAAGACGTAACTTTGCGTGAATTAAATAATATGCAGCCATGAATGAGCGCATGTTGGAAATAAAAATGCTAAATTTACTTCTCTCTTGTTGTATATTTGCTCATCATTAGTCTCGTGAAGCAGCTTTCATATTGCTGTTCACTCACCGGGTTGATGCTCAGGAAATGCTCCAGCACGACCACCGCATGTAACTTTTAACAAGATTCACTTGTTTAAAACACCCCTAAATTGTATTAACATTTACTATATAATCATTATTTCGCTAATAAACATCTAAATAAATACATCTCTATGGAAACTAATTTATTATCGCAGTTTGAGTATAGTTCTGTGTAAATGCATAGATAAACTGCGCTGTCAGCCGGCATTTCATAATCTAGAACGACAAAAACATTATTAGTAATTCTGATATAACATGCCAGTTGAGAAATGCAATAAAATATGTTTTGTATTATTATATTTCAATATTCCAGAGAATATTATTCAGTGAATTAACATAATCCAATGAATTATTCTTCACTCTTTAGCCTATTAAACAGCTTATAAACCTACTAAAACTGTAGTTTAAAATGAAGTTGATATGACTCCTTTCAATTGCAAAAATTATGCTATTTTAAAGATCATTATTTTGTGTATTTGGTATAACAGAATATGTTGACATGCTTTAATGTTCAAAAAACACATTATTTTTAAAATACTGTACATTATACTCTCTCGTTTTCAACAAAGCCCCCTCCTTTGACAAGCGCAGTCTGCTCTGATTGGCCAGCTGACCCAGTGCATTGTGATTGGCCGAACACCACAAGCACGCGTCGGAAATGTAACGCCCCTTACCCTAATCGCGAGCTTCAGCTTTCAAAGTAAATATCAAGACAGTTAATAATGTCGTTAGTTTTACCATCAGTTCAAGCCCGAAAGGGCAACAGAGTCGCGTGACAGACACAATGAGGATGCAGTACACAAGCCGCGGCTAAGACAGCTGACGTGCTATGATTTCTGACAGGAAGTTCACTCTCCTGTGATGTGACTCTGTTCCCCTCACACACACACAACGCGTTTCTCTGCGCTGCGCAAAACTCCGCATTTGAACAGTCAATAGCAAAAACTTAAACTAATAACAAAACATACTTACAGTCGCTGATTCAGAAGCGCCAGATTGTCATAGCAAAGTCGGAATTGACCCTTTTTTTTTTTTAGAAATAGCCTTTGTGCACAGCCAGCCTTGTACTCTTCTAGGTT